CGACCCGTCTGATGACCCGTCTGACCCTCCGGCCGACCCGTCTGATGACCCGTCTGACCCTCCGGCTGACCCGTCTGATGACCCGTCTGACCCAACTGAGCCTGACAATTAAAGCTTACCGCGACCCATCTATTTTATGAGGACGATACCGCACAGCCTCATAAGCAATGTCTAGACCTATTCTCTTTGTAAAGTAATATAATAGGATTAACCAGAACCTTTGTGTACTGTCACGATCGGGTTATGATACTATCTGTCCTAGTGATAAGACCCTTTCTCATCGCTTGCTGTTATGAAATTTATACTTACGCCGACTGGTAGCAACTTGCTAGCTTGTGATACTGACCTCCAATCACCTAATCCTCCTGACAGCTGTTCCGGATCCGACAGGAAGGGCAGGCTAATGGGCGCCGCGGTGTGATGGGGTGGCTAAATGGGTAGCAAAGCAATGCAGTAACAGCAATTGAAGTGAGAGACAGACAAAGATATGGGTAAAGATGAACTAGGCCGGTGCACTTATAGTTGATCTTACTGTCAGTAACTTAGAGCGAAAGGACACGGCTCGCGGCCGGTTCGACCTCTGCACTACTTCCATCCACATATCACCCACGGCCGGGTTGCCCTCTTCGACTTTACATCTTTATTAACCATCACACGCTTTACCCTGTATAGTTGCTATCAAGATCGTGAGATTAAGCCAACACCATTGACCTAGTGACTCACACTTCCCTTGGATTTGATGCCTCCGGGAGGTCGGCCGCATACATACCTTATACGCCCAGGCATAAGCAATCGCCAGAGGATCTCTTCCCATTCATTCAGATTTTACACGGAAGGTGTTCTCCTACTGAGGAGGCCCACTTTCGCAAGTTCCCGCCGCAAAACTCGCTCGTCCGGTTCTTCCGCTTCCATAGATCGATATCACCACGACCTCAACAAAAACAACAAAAAAAGAATGGGAGGCTATGCTTCGTATCATCTCACTGAATGACCCCGACCCGATTTGAACGGATAACCTTCTGATCTGGAGTCAGATGCGCTAGCCGTTGCGCCACAGGGCCCGTTACGAGAGATTAGAGGCCCGCATCCGAAGATGGGGAGGTGGATGGTGGAAGAGGCATTGTACCGGGTTATGTCCCATCCAAGGGTAGCTCTGCGAGGCTGTGGGGACGGAAACTGTCTCATTTGGGCAAAGCAACGATGCACGACGATGGAGACTCGAGGGATGATGGATGAGGGATGTTGCCGGGTGGGGGCGGGCTAAGCTTCAGTCTAGACAACTCGGCTACCATCAGAATGGACCAGAGGGGCTCGGCCTGCTTGCTTTTGGGTTTTTGGAAAGGACTTGGAAAGCCGAATCGCAGTGTGGCTTTAAGCATCTTCTAGAAATAGCCGAGAGCAGACTAAGCAAGCGACGCCTCGTCATCTTCACACGACGGGCAAACCACGTGGGCAACTGGCCGTCCGCGGCCTTTCAGGGGAGTCTCGAGGCCTCTCAGCAGTTAGGGCGGAAGTTCACTTGGCTTGGGAGTGAGGGGTTAAATTGTTTTTGATTCCTTAACCACACTGAGGGCGGGATAACATTCTCTATCCCGGAATCTGTACATTTTATTTAGATTCGATCAAGGAGGAGGCTGCTTTGCATTTTTTTTTGGTCAGCAGGGTTCCGCTGTTCCGCCTCACTGGGCGTACTAGGCGCAACCGAGCAATATGGACTAACTAGCCATGTCGCCAGCTTGTATGAAGATAGGTTAATTTATGGGATTATGCGCTTTGCTTGAAATTTGTCGCACTGGCTTTAGTCATGTCTTGTCGCTTGCTATTTTTACTTAGGGCCCGCTGGACTCCTTGTGTCCGTGCCCGAGCCCTATTGTTAGTGGGTTATAAGCGCAAGAAGCTCTTCGTCTCTCCAACCAACTATCACTGGATGAAAACATCCATCATTCCCCGATAGTCTAGTGGTGAGGATATCTGCTTGTCACTGCATTGCAGCAGCTCGCAGGGGACCGGGGTTCAATTCCCCGTCGAGGAGATTTTTTGCCTCTTGTCTCGAGTTAAATGGCGACTGTAAGGACGTTTTCTTAAATATTTTTTTAATACAATATATACGCTGTTGTAATTAAGGGACTTAAATTGTCTGAAATGTTAAGACTAGGACTTATTTAAGTGCTGTCTCTTCGTTTCAGTACTGGTGCCAAGGGGGTTTAGAAGCCTAGGACTTTAACCTTAAGAGGACTGTGGTTCTAATCCGATGCCTCAGAAAGTACTCATTGTGTTAAGTATCAGCCATGAAAACTTGTAGTTCGGCATTCACCAGGACACCCAGCTGTTTGATCGATTTCAATTCCGATTCTATCATCTTCAAGGACCACGATTCTTCTCGGCTGTACTAGTCAGAGATGTCCAACGCCAGTATCTTTTAGATTCGTCTAACCCCCCCGAGATCCGGCCCGAGATGCTGAAGACCCTTTTGGGCCTTGGCGTTAATTGAAGCTTGCCCGCTAACCGTCTCGCGAGAATGGCAGTCAAAATTGAGCCAACATTGCTGGGACCAGCCATGACAGCAAGTCCTCTCTTTCGCAGGTGAAGCCAGATCCGCCACATATGTTTTCATGTCGAACTGAAGCAGAGCTAACGTATAATGTGCTCAATAGCATCGGGGTTGAACGATGTCGACAGCAGATTCATCGTATATGCTTTCCAGAACTTATTCCCCAGCCCTCGGTTCTCGTTGACCCACTCACAGAACTCGTTCAAGTACCTCAGCTTCCAACCAGACACCCAGTTTGGCCGGTCGCCGCCACAGCGTGGCGGGTGATAGTAACGGGTCCCTTCACGATCCAGCTCAAGGCTAGGCTGTCTGGCGACGATATATTGATCCCGACTGGTACGCTATGTGAAAGATTTTCGACGGGGTTATGGGCGGGGGGTCGTTCTAGAACGAGCCACCGGAGATGGGTTGGTGGCAGACGCTGACACTTATCCCCGCGATCACGGCCATGCTCTGTCAGTAAATCTGCTGACGTTAAAGCCAGTCGTCTTTGCCAGTGTATTTACGCGACTTCCCGGTATGATGGAGCTCTGCTACGAGTCCCGGAGAGACTGGGGTGGCCCAGAGACACAAACCGGTAAATCGACACAGGCACCCAGAAATCGATAGAGTCACTTTTCCAGACGAAGTTATCAGGGCTAGCTAGGTTCGAAAATTTCAAGCAGGCATACCAGAGGATATCTTCACACGCACGCGCCATCGGGGTCTCGAAGCATGTTAGTAGCCGCACACTTTCGAGACCCAGCCTGCAACTCGTGGCTGACCTGCATCGCCACGACGGGTATGCTATTCAGAGGTCTTCGACCCTAGCATCCGATATGCCAACCGGGACTCTCAACGGAGGTCTTCGGGTCTGCGGGGCCGTGGACGAGGCCGAAGTGTGCCAAAATCACATCACGCCCTACGCTTATCATATCAACAATATCGCCGCAGACCCCCACCGTCATATGATGCTCGCTGCTGTATGCGAAATGCAGAAGGATCTGTCGCTTTTTCCGCAGTGATCATGTTGAGCATGTTTCGAAGAAACACAGACCCCCGATTCCAAATGAGAATTGCAGCGGATATTGATGACAACCTGCTGTTTGACGAATTGCTTACTTGATATCCTATGAGCAGAGCAACCGCCAACATCAACACGGACAGGCGTCTTTGGTGCATTTATCCCGGAGCGATATGCAGCTACGAAACTATGCACATTGAGTCAAGGAAAGAGGCCCGCCACTCGCCCCGCGTCCCCTCCGCAGATGATACATGCCCCTGGACCTCTCTCAGCCCAAGCGTGACGGCGCCCCCTACGCCCCGTGACCACCCAGCATCTCAGCTAGCCTTGAATGGTTATTGAGCTTGCGAGTCTCATCTCGGTACCGAGATGAACCTGTATTCCTAGAGCATCGTTCTGTTGCCAGTACACCGTGCACAGAGGCGGGGCTAGAGACAGTGCAAGAGTCACGAGAAGAGGGGGCTTGGATCTTCAGATCAGAACCAGACTCCCAGGGGGGATACAATAGACCACCACCGGTGGCCATCAGTCAACTCTGTGTACCGACGACCAAGCTCAATGTTTTCCCAGCACTTCACAGTCGCAGGCACTTTCCAACGGTCGTCGAGCATCTGACCAACAGGCTCTCGGTCTCAACAAAGATGGGAGAGGCGAACCCCCGGCTGAACAACCAAAAGTCGGACTTGTCAAGCTCGGCCCATGTTCTTGCAAAGTATATATCCAGGACTTACTCTCGCATATGAGGGGTCAAAGGCATGTCGAGAAGACGACCGCGCACACAGAGTGTAACCTGCCCAACGGATTCTAGGTCCATGTTAAAATGATTGCCCCTAGCACTTGCAGCTCATACAATGGCTAGCCTTTCGCGGGGAGACCCCCGGATGACCCGGCCTTCGCTGGCGTCAACTATCCAAGGTGCCCTGACTGCATATACCTAGGTAGAAGGCCTAGAAGGCTTGGTAGAGAGCGTCCGAGAACGGAGCGTAAAACCTTCTCGAGCGGAAGAAGCAGGCGCCTCCCTTCAGGGGTCGACCACCCGGCTCACAAGCATAGGATTCTTGCGTGAACCGATGGAGTTGTTTGACTCGTATCTGTCAGGATCACCAAATAGCCAGTCAGCAAGATGGCTGAGACAGCCGAGATATTACATTCATCCGACCAAGTCAACGATGAAGTCACAGCACAGACATCGTACACGACCTAACGTAGTTAGCTTAAACACCCCGGGCACTCCCGCGAGGATTGCCATCTGTTTGGATGGCTCTGATGGACGTCTCGCCAAAGTGACAGAGCACAAGCCGAGTGAAGGAGAGAGAGGGAGGGAGGCGACAAAGACCGGCGACCAATGGGCGACGTGCCGTGTCCCATTGCCCTGGCCCGTCTCCCAGCTCGAAAAAAAAAACCTCTCAGATCCGACGACATGGTTCCTGAGGTGTGGGGGGGTGGATGGCATGCAGTTTGCAGCGTTCCACGAGAAGATTTGACCGCGAGCGGAAGGCGTGTTCCCACGCCGCGGCACGACAAAAGATCCCATACTCCGTACATGCTTTGATCTTTGCCAAAAACCCTGCCCCCCTCCCTACCTACAGCGTCTGGCGAGCTGACAAGCCGGCAAATGTTTCCAAGACAGCAGCGTCCCATTCCGCGGACGCAATGGTTCGGCGCTCAAAACTGAGAAGTGATAGATTACCCCTGAACCCCCGGGCCAGGGTAAAGGAGCAGCAAAGCTGATGGCCCAACACCAAAGCGCCAGGGCCGTCTGAGGCGGGTTAGCATTATGGAAAGGTGGGCTTTGCCTACTCCCCCCCGAAAACGGGGCCGCGTCAGTCTGCCTGCTATGCCGCTTGTTTGGCCGTCGCAGGAGGCCATCTGCACAACATCCTCGCCCTACTTCTTGCCCCGGGTCCGGTCGCTGTCGGACGCTCCCTCTTGGTTGCGTGGCCGCGGGGTACTGTTCAACATGTTCCACCGATCGTCTCCTGCGAGGGCGAGGGAACCCGCTACGGCGCATTTCGTAACGTGTCGCTCCGGAAAGTTTGTCAGTGTCGTTTCAGTCTATCCTCGCCGACAAGAGATGGAGGCTGAACCGGAACTGTGTAGCGCAGCGATGCAGGTGAAAAGGAGTCGTCGAGGTCTGGCTGACCCCTTGTCAACACAAACGGGTTGTGCGTGTTGAAGTCCCCGGCCACATCATGTCGAATATGGCTAGGCTTCCACATGATGCGCACTAGAATGGGATAGGCTCGGCCAGGTACCCGTACGCTGATCCACTAATGCACCTTATCAGAAATTTCGAGACGGGTTTGCGCCAGGGCAGGCCATGGTTTGGTCTGATCTGGTGCTGTTAAAGGTATGCCGCGACTGTGAGGTGCTTTACATGGATCGAAAGGGGAGGTCACGTTTGCGTTGGAGGATTGGGGATAGTCATGAGCAGGTTCTTCAAGGCAAAGAGTGTATTGGCGTCGCTGTGGCGTATACGCAAGAGAGGGTTCCGGGGGGGGATGTCT